AATAACTCACCAAGGCAACGGAGAGAAGGGCAAAGAAGGCAACAGCTACGGCAGTCCTCATGTTGAGATGTGTGTAGATTGATGCTGTGGAGATGTTGATGAGGTCTTATATACACCTACTGCACCTGTTCATCAGACCATAGTAATGTACAGTTGTTACAATCAGTTCCTAAGTAGCCGGCTGAAACAGGTGTTCTCACTTATTCACCTGAATTCTTTTGGGTGGGCAACAAATTACCACAGAGTTTTAGCAAATTTTCTTATAGGGAAGTTTAAGCTATTACCATAGGTGCCATGGCAAGCCTAGACCTAGAACTGATTTACTGTTTGGTTTGATGTCCTTAGAAGGCAACAAAAACTGTATGTTAAAAATCCATGTCCGTAAAACCTAAATTTATTGTAGGGAGTTCCTGAAAGAGCATGAATATGCTATAGAAATCTGGTAAAATAGGTTTACCTACAGCCGTTTTTAAAGTAGCCTTTTCAATTTAGTTCTTAGAATTGAAAAGATTCACTTTACCGCATTGTTAAGCGGAGCAAATCGAAGCTCTTTGGGATCAACTTGAATGCAAATTTTCTAACACATAAACTCAATAACGGCTGAACATTTTTCAGCCAAGCTTACCAAGGTTGTTTTCTCAAATGTTTGAATGGTTTAGATCAAACCAATTAAAATTTTTGATAATGCCTACAGAATATAATTTAAAAGTAACTCAAAGTTTTTAAATTTTAACATGGGTCTTATGGGTTGCCAAGATGGTTACAAAATAAATATGTAATTGTAAACAAAACAAAGCATATTTTAAAATCAAGCCACGACCTAAACACAGTGCAAAGGGAAAAAAGTTCGGATGATGACCACTGATCAAATAATACAGAAAAAGTCGGTTTACATTTAAGTCGCGATTTGTAAACAATTACTGATCGAATAGGTAGGCTACAGTATTTTACAGATTTGATTTACGTAGCTAAATAAGGTTACTTATAACAAATAACATTTATCTTAAACAATTCGTTGGTGAATCACATTCAAGGATCCATCTCATAAATGGCAAACTTAAACAGGTCCACAATGTAGGAAGTGGTGAAGTAAAGGCGAGCAGTGCGGAGTGTGGGAACGGTTTTTGGCAATGAGATAATTGTATCTAAAATACTAAAATGCTATGGGAAGGGAAGGAAACAGGTCCACGACGTAGGAAAAGGGAAGGAAGTAAAGGCTAAAGATGCGGAGTGTGGGAACCCTTTGTGGCAGTTAGATTAATGTATCTGCAATCCTAAAATGCTATAGAAAGGGAGGGAAACAGGTCCATGACATAGGAAGTGATGAAGGAAGTAGTAAAGGCAAGCAATCCGGAGTGTGGGAACAATATTATCTAAATAGGCTATTATTTACTTTGAAATATTTTTTATTATATCAACGTTGTCACACACACTTGTTGCCTATTGTTGAATGTTATTGTGTTGGCAACAACTTGGGGTATATTATTGCCCCAGAAGGATAAAGTATTTTTTGTGTTTTGTTTTACAAGAAAATACCTAATTCACATAAGAGTGCCATATTAAGGAAAATTTCAGAATTCTTTCTCAAAAACTGCCTGATATTTGTAGAAAATGAAGACAAGCAATAAACACCTGAAACACACAAACAACTACTTCTGGCAATGTTTTGAGATACTTGAATGTAGGACACTTGCTTGAAAACAATGCTTTTTCATAATATTGTTAAATGTACACAATTTAAGAAAACAAACCTCATAAGGTATGGTAACAACTATTTGTGCAATACTCTCAAAGCAGGCTATAGTCTTTAAAAAGTTACATCTGCTAAATCGTATGGATCCATGCAGGATTATTTCTGCCTAAACTGCAAAATCTGGCCAAGATTAAGAAAATATTGATTGGTTTAGGTTCAAGGTGACCAGATGACATTAGCAAGCAAACACAGGAAAAACAAAGGATACCGTATGTATGTAATGTCCACATCTTTACTAATTAAACTTGTTGTGGATGTTGATAGTTCTGAGCAAAAATTATAAGTTAAATTTATGAAATAGTTGTATTTTGTAATTATATCTATAATCATTTTATTTATTTATTGCTTTATTAAAAACCATGAAACGTGATTGCTCCGCTCAACCGTCTTTCACTGCTGTGAAAGCAATGCTAGTTTACTTACTTTACCTCATTGTTGTTTTACTTTACAGCACTGCTATTATAGTCAACACACCAATGAGGTTCAACTATTGAGAAAAAAGTAAAGTTGTAATGCTTCAATCGCCATCGCCAACTTACCAGGTGACAATGATAAATTCAATGGTATAGCCATTGACTATACACAGAATGGTATAGCTTGAGCTGGGAGTGGGAACACACATATTCTTCCCTAAAAATTGAACTAAATGATTTGCGAACTAATAGCTCCTGAAAGGTTTTTTTGAAAATGTCAGATAGTAAGTTCTAGTGAAATAGACAACATAGATAAGGGTTTAAACGGTTTGTAATAACCTTTACCACGCTAATCAAAGAAACGTTACGAGAAAATAGTATGTGTGCAACGTTTTTTATTGAGTATCCTCCACTTATGATAGTAATATGTTAAGAGATACTTTAATTCTGTTTATTTGAATTTTAATGATGTACTGTAGGCAAACTATGCCAATAGTGCACATTCATTAATGCAAAAAATTAATATTTGCCCATTTGTGCCTGAAAAGGTACTAAGAGTAAGAATGCTGCTAACAGTAGCCTACCAATTCCCTCAAAAAAATAAGCCTATGCAGAAAAATTATAGCTTATGATGTTTTACAAACCTTATTAACAAATGATCGTAGGTAAAAAGTTGTGTAGGCATCTCGTGTAATTAGCCTTTATGACACTCAAAGAAGGTTAAGGCCAACGATCATGTCACTTATTAAACAATTTTATGTTATACATTATATAACTTGTTGGTGGAGGAGCATATTTTCATCTGATCCTTAGAAAAAATACTGGGCCCTCTGAGAAGAAAATTCTTGCAGGGGCCCATGTTGGTGCTTATTTGTGCATTTAAAAATGACGAAGTTGCTGTAGTATATGAGATGCAAGGTTAATAAAAGGTTATTGAATGGTTTAGAACGTTCGCTGCTAATCGCCACATATATGCGACGCTGCGGTCATTGCCACCGACTGAGGTATACATTTTAATATTACACATAGATATGGTGTCACTTGGTAAGCAGTACACACAGACCACAGGCCAGTGAAGCAGGAAAGTAAAAAATCGTTTTGCCAACTATCAAATGACGTCACTAATCATTATATCCATAGACCAAGTGACGCACATTTGCGACAGACATTATAAATCAATATCATGAATAACAGACAACTGTAGACCACTGCAGAGAATTCAGGGCCTTCAAATAGACTGTTAGGAAGATAAGCTTTTTAATAACATTGGGACCATCGATTGGGACACTGACACAAATATGCGACTTCAGTCTATTTTGATGTAACCAGTCTGTGGGTAGACACCGGCTGTCACTGGTCCATATGAATGAAAAATTTAGTATTATGGCGGAAGTGAATGGGTTAAAAAAAGAAATAAGCCGAAGCCCTGGCTGTAAAATGGAGAAAACCATGCTCCCAAATTATCGGATGGTTGAGGATCCAAAGCCAGCTTTCCATCATTCGAGCAGTTTCGCTTAGGCTACGGGGAACTAGACGTAAAATTCTAAGCATTCAATTTGAAGATGGTGCCGCAATTCCCCCAGTGCTCTATTGAGCTTTCATTTTATTTCTTTATACATCCCAAGTAGCTAGTATTTTAAAATTAAAATCTTTTCTATGTAATTTTGTAAATAAAATCATTAATGGATAAAAAAAAAATTAAATTTAATGTATTTATAGTCAAAAATAATAAAAATCAAATTATAGCCAATAAACACTGAGGCTAAATTTCTATATCACTATCTATATATTAAAAGGCAAGGATATTTCTTTAAAACCATTTTTCTCAGCTTGTGTGCATCGTAGGGAAAATCTACCAATACTCTTAAAAAGATATTTTCTGTAGGTGTGCAGAATCCCATTATAAATTAAAATAGGCTAAAAATTACACACAAAAAATTAATTTAAAATAAAAAAAAAATTAACATAGGCCTTATTATGGGTTGCCGAGCTGGTGACGAAATATAAACAGAAAATCAAAACAAATGGAATAAATGTTTTACTTACAGTGTGGGGTGAAAATAGAGAAGTGTGTACATTAGATATTTTTGGTTGAGTTTTCGACCACTGGATCACCTCTAGTTAAAATTACAACATACTTCCAACTATCACATCACAGATTTTACCAATTGCAACTTTAACAAGAAAACCAAGAAACAAGAAAACGCCAAATAAAAAAGATTAATACAATTCCTTCTTCTCCGATGTCTAGATTGCTAGATTTTTAAAAGGTGCGCCAGGTTCGCTAATAAAATATATTGTAACTGTGTTTTTGACCACAGTTTCATCAGTTAAAAATTCAGTAACTTTTAATCCAGTCAATGACCATTTGTCCCATGTATTTATCTCATACAGCACCAAATGTCCATAAAAGTTTGGATTTAGGTTGTTCTTGACTAATTGTTATTTTCTGAACTAAGATATATGGATATCATATGTATTTGAAAATATGTAGTTTTTCGCCTTTTGGGACATAAAAAAATCTGCCTTGGGTCTGATACTGGGTTGGCTAGGAACTGAAAAAGCTTGCAGTTTAGAACTACATTTCTCTGTCAAGAGGGGGTCATGGTTCTATTTCAGAAGATTTGCTTTCGCTGTGGTTATACAGAAAACATCACAACATGTAACACGTTGGGTACAGTACAGTTCTACAACCCAACTGTTTTTACTACAGTCGTACATTCATCAAGCTTTGTATTGTTTGGCAACTGGTGAAATTACGGTATTTAAAAGAATAAAATATTGTCTATCTAAATATGCAAGGATCTATAGAGGAAGTTAAATAAAATAGCCACTTTTTAGTACTTTTTTGTTATTTAATGATCAATCTCAGACATTTACAAGCATCCGCAGGGCTTGGGGGCAGCGACCTTAGCCTCGTAGCTGGTGGAAGCAGAGGAGGTGTTGTCAGAGGCAGACACAGACTTCTTGGTCTTGCTGGCCTGGACCTTGTTGCCGAAAGCATCAGCGTATTTGTAGCTGTCGCTCTTAGCTGAACCTTCCCTGGTGCTGGCAGAAGCGTCTTGCTCAGTGGTGGCCTTCACGTATTTGTTTCCAAAAGCATCAGCCACAGCCAAACTCTCGGCACCTTCAGAAGCTGCAGACTTAGCTGACTTGTACTGAGACTGGTCAGACTTCTTCTCTTGGACCGAAGCGGCCTGAAATAAATAAAAATGTATAATCTGCCTGTAAAATAATTTCTTTTATAGTCAGAAATGTGATAGTAAAAACAAGAGTGTGTGTAAAAACAAGATATGTGTCCGTTAGCACGATAACTTAAGCAAAAATTATCCGATTTTGATGAAATTTGGTATAAACGTGTAAACCTACATTTATTCGAACGAGTTTGCTAACCAGCATGATCGGACTATGGGAACGGGGAGTTTTGTGGGGTAAAAATGGGGTTTTCCCATATTTGACCTTAAAAACAAACAATTTTGCAAATTTTTTAAAAACTATTTTGTAGAGCTTAAAATAAAAAATAATTTAGTATATTGAATCGTTGTTATGCACCTTATGGTTACAGAGCAAATTCCAAAAAAATTTTATTTAAAATTCCCATGTAATTCTTATGAAAACTGTTGTAGTTTGCCTGTTTACGAACATATTTTGGTCAAATTTTCTTACTCTATTAACGTTTGTAAAAAAAAAATTTTACCCTCCAAAAAAGTATGTTTTAGGTATGTTGCAGAAAACCTAAGTTCTATTTCGGGAATAAATGTGATATTTATAAGGAGACATTTTATTGTAAATTCAATCAGGCCAATGGAAATTCGCTTAGTCTGCAGGTTTGCTGTGGCGGAGGTTAATAAATGTTACTGGTTATAATACCAGCTGATCGTATCATAATAAAGCTATCATTTCATCCATTCAACTCTCATCTTTTACTCATCTTTGCCAAAAAATATACCATGTAGTGTGTTGACCCTGTTCAGTTTGTCTAATCAAATCAAAATGTCTATGGAGATTTTAATTTTACTCAAATATTCTTAGTCCATTTAATTTTTTTCTTTAAATACATCAACTCTCTTAGATTCATTCCCCTTTCCAGCTTAAATGCTCTGTCTGTAAATAAGGATTGTTTTTACCAGTGCTCGATTTGAAAAACTGAGGTGCCATAACTGTAACCTATTTAATGTGATTAGTACCTATTTATGCCAAATATTTTTATCTTTACGAAAGAGGCGTTTTATTGTTCCCCCACAAATCGAGCACTGGTTTTTAATATTTTATAATTATATTATCTTAGATTTTATTATACATTTTTAAGTATCTTTCATGACCTACATCGTAAAAACAAAAAACCTGCCATTACCTATGTGATATTTTCTTCACCAAATTAAGAGCAACTCATTTTAGCGAATTTCCCTATAGGGAAGTAGCTATTACCGTAGGTCTCATGGTAAGACCTAAGCCCGGGACCGATTTACTTTTTCATTTTGATGTCCCCAGAGGCCAAAAACACCATTCGTTCAAATTTTTATATATCTATATATAGATATATATATATATGTGTCCATCCGCACGATAACTTGAGTAATTTTTGTCCGATTTTGATAAAATTTGGTTTGAAGGTGTAAGGCGGGATAAACTTGAATGAGTTCGCGAACCAGCATGATCGGACTATGGGAACGGGGGTTTATGGGGTAAAAATAGGTTTTTCCCATTTTTGACCCTAAAAACACAAAATTTCACTATTTCTTTTTAAACCATTTTGTAGAGCTTAAAAAAACAAATAATTTAGTATATTGAAGCGTTATTATGCGCCTATTTGTTATGGAGAAAATTCAAAAAAATTGTAATTTTGAAATTCCCATGTTATTCTTATGGAGAATAAGTCAACTGTTGTAGTTTGCTTGTTTATGAACATATTTTGATCGATTTTGGAAAATACTTTTATTTCTTACTAAACTATTATCAATTTAAAAAAAAATCTTTTTTATCCTCCCTGTTGCAGCAAACCTAAGTACTCGTTAAACTTATTCTATTTAAATAGGAAATAAATGTGCTATTTTTATGGAGGCATTTTAGTGTAAATCCAATCAGGTTAATGGAAATTCGCTTAGTCTGCAGGTTTGCTGCGGCGGGGGTATTATACCTAATTTAGTTACTGTTATGTTTGTTGTTTTTTTTTTTTTTGCTATGTTTTAAACTAGTTTTTATTTTTTTACAGCGTATGTTTTAACTATCTTTTTAATAGCTTACCAAGGCAACGGAGAGAAGGGCGAAGAAGGCAACAGCTACGGCAGTCCTCATGTTGAGATGTGTGTAGATTGATGCTTTGGAGATGTTGATGAGGTCTTATATACACCTACTGCACCTGTTCATCAGACCATAATGGTAATGTACAGTCGTTACAATCAAGTACCAGTAATTAATTAGAAGTAATCTCTCAAAACTCAAAACAACCTTAAAAAAAATAATTCAAAGTTATTATGAGGAACACCTACGCTTTCTAAAATGTTTTCCATTCATAACTGTAACAGTAAAATAAAGTCAGTTAGTAATAGTTGGCAAAAGTTATCCGTCCGAGTGGTTTTTTCCATAGTGGCCAAGCCAAATTGCCATTTTTCCACATTTTCTTTTTGAACCATATCAAGTAAAATTATGGTTTGAACATATCAATATGCAAACTCGTTTTATTCAGAAAATCCAGGGGAATCTGAATATGTAAAAAGAAGTTGTTTTAGACACGTAAATATTTCACAAAATTCCAAAAACTATAAACACAGTCAGGTAAGATTAGTGAATTTCATAACAAAGAGTGAAGTAATTACTCGAGTGAGTAATTTATTTATGTGCGAGATTTGTTTATCGAGCATATGGTCGAGAATATGTATAGGTCCACTTTCACTCGTGTTTTGACGGTAGTGTAGCAAAATAATATATTTCACTACTAGTCACAAAAGTTGTTTGACTCGCTTGTAAAACACTATCTCGCCCCAAAATGGGATTTTCGTTATGAGTATTGAACGGTACTTTTTATCTTTTTATTATTTATGAAAAAAACTTTACTTCATTAAACTTTAAAAAATTATCTGATATTTCGTAATCTATTCATTTTTTTTATCTAAACACAATACAGCTGTACAATTAATAAAAAAAAAAGAAATTTATTTAAATTTTAAATGAATCAGTTTTTGTCATGTATTTTAAATAGAAACACAATGGCGCTCGTTCCTTTTGAGCTAACCGGAAACTTCAGTTGTAAGTGTAACTTTGTTGATGTCAGGCAAAGTATTGTTTGTGTAGCGAAACCCGAAAGTAATGTTTATGTCAGGAAAAGTCAGCTGATCACTATTTGTTTTTGGTGCAAGGAAATAGATGATTTTCGAAGATCTAAGCTGCATAGAAATGGGCTATTTTTGAATAGTATATTTAGTACCTAGGGCCAAAAATGAGGTTTTGCCGGCTCGAGATAGTCTTTAAGTTCGAGACAAAGTCGAGGACTTAAAACGATCGAGAGCTGCAAAACCATTTCGGTCCGTGGTACGAACACTATTTTTCACCACACTATACCCTATTACCACTATTCACCACAATAATAATGCACACTGATAGTCAACACAACTACAACTTTAAGGTTATGTGAAGAAATAATTTAAGCAATCGCTGAAAAAATTATAAATAGTTGCTAGGCAATGGTGACAATAATACAATTCTATTGCAATGCTATGGATACTGATTGTGTATTTTATATGCATTCATGTTTTAAGAAAGTAAGCGGGCAGCTGATTTTGCTGCCCTAGGGATGTAAAAACCTGCTCGGTCCCCAAATGACGATGACAGATGTCATGGCCAGCAAAACGTTACTTTCAGCCACCAATTAGGCCCGCCGCACATTGGAGCGAGGCGAGGTGCAGGCTAGATGCAGGCGGGAGCGAGGACTTTTTCGTGTCACCGCACATTGAAGCGAGGCGGGACAGAGGTTTCCTAGCTTTGGTCCTACTGTCGTGAGTAGAGGAAGATTCTTTGGACCTTCTGATTGTGAGTTTAATAATAACGTTTGACTCTATTCGCTATCCGAAAAACGTAAAAAATGTTTTTGGAAACGTAATTAATTTTTAAAGATTAAGCCTTGGAGTGGAGACTATGTTTTAACTACTGAACTGCCAGACTGGTCTTTTAGGGAATATTTTCGTGTGAAAAAACAACAGTTTGATGATATTCATAACTTGATTGAAAGTGGTATTAGTGGAAAGGAATGCAATGGTCAGCTACATATAGCCAAGCCATCTGAATTTAATGCTCCATCTATATCTTTCACTCACAAAACACTAGAAAACCAACGCAGGCGCGAGCGAGGTGCAGGAAAACTGTATTCCAACTACAACGCCGCGAAGGCCTGACAGAGGCTGCAGCTGTGCTGCGCGGAGGCTGCGCGCAGCCTCTGCTCAATGTGCAGTGCTCCATTTAAACACGTGTGTTACAGAATCAGCCGCGCCTCGCCTGCATCTAGCCTACACCTCGCCTTGCTCCAATGTGCGGCAGGCCTTAACGTATGTAAAACAGCTAAAAACATCATAGAGTGGTGAAAAGTATACTTTTAGACAATATACATGTGAAGACAATGAACTAAAGTTTAAAAATGTTATAAAACTAGGTTGAAAAATTATAGTTTGCTACTTTAATGTAACACTTTGTTTTTTTTCATAAATTCTGAAAAAAAACAATTTTGTAATTTTACAAAAAATAACTTTTTGCAGAATTTATCAGGACCAATTTATTTATTTAGGGGATTTAGGTATTTCAATTCCCTACATATTAACACATGGGGCAAATATTTTATTTTTCTAAGTCTTATTAGATACAGTACATAATATCTAATAATTTGATCTTTTGACAGCATGTAGCATGTTTATTATTTCTTAAATAACTTCTTGATCAGCATTGTACGTGTTATTAAATTTACGGAAAGTAAATAAAGATACGTCTTATAACACTTAAAATAATTTATTTACTTTCCGTATTATTTCTTTGCACATACTTTAGTAATATTCATGATCTACACAATGCATGAATATTAGTGATTTACACACACTTTTCACATGTTGAATATAACATATAATGATGTACTGATAAAAAACTCCAAAGGATAAAGAAGGTCCGCCCCCAACTCAATCAATAAATCAACGCAAAAGTTACACTCGCCCTCGACAAAGGCACTATACATTAAGAATACATGGGCAGTATGGGCATTACCTACCATTAAATTCTCGCCAAAATTCCCTATTTCACCTGCACTACCAGATGTATTCTGTGACAATTGTTGCCAACCAAAATACAAAAATAATCTACATTTTCTGTTCTTTAAAATGACATACTGTATAACTGTATTAGTAACAGTTTTATATTCTACGCATAATATGGATTTTATAACCGACCTAATCAATCAGTTGGCCATTCCTCAATTTTCACAAAAATAGTGGTTTTCAAAAAGTCCTACAGGATTTACATTTAATTTTTCAATTTCATTATTATTATATATCCAGCGTTCTGTGTACATTGATACCAACCTCATCCCGCTAAAATGAAATTAACTTAACTTTACAGTAACTTGAAAAACCTCAGTTTTGACGTTTTGGGATCGTTGTCTGTTGTGACCGTACTATTGAAATACACGCACATTGTAAATTATATCTCTTTATTTTAACAACATAGATGTTTGTAATGTAATGTTTTTCAAAAAGTAACAATAAGAAGTGTTTACTATTTAATATTTACCAACAGCTGAATATTTAGAATAGAGTAATAGAACAAGATTATGACACTCTCCCTCACTTATTGAGAAGAACATAAACTATTTTTGAACGATAAAGTCTCGTAACCAAGGTGGCTGTCGTCGTTGTCTTATTGGTCGTGGAGAGCGAACTGGAATGTTAACTTCTGTAGGTTGGTCTGGTTCTGGTTCAATATGGTCGGGTCTTTGATCAGGATAAGATGGAGTTTGGTTTGGAAGTCTTGGTACATCGAATGATTGCTTAGGTCCAAATGTTACATCTTTTCTTTCATTACTAGAGTTGGTCTAAGCTGGTTAATGTGTCTCTTGATATTTCTTCCACTATCGAGTGTTACTATGTAATGTCTTTTTCCTAGCTTCTTCTTTATTACTCCAAACTGCCAAACTTGTCTGTTGTTACTGAACATTTGAACTTGCAGTCTCTCCCCCTCTTGAATCGATCTGACAATTATGACATTGTCGGATTGATTTACAGCTGAAAAATATATTGTTGATTCTTACCATCTTCAGGGTTGCCCATCCCCCCCCCCCAAAACTCACGACACAGAATCCCCCCCAAATTTGTTGTTTAACCCATGCCGGGAGGTCTGGTGGGGGGGGGGGGTCCCCCGACACTTCTTTAAATCACTCTGCAAATTTATGGGAATTTAAGCTTTTGAATCAAACTTTTAACCCAATTTAAATGGACAATTTTGCTTTAAAAAGTGCCAATTAATAGGAAAAACTAATTATAGGTGGATTTTATAAATAATTCACAATTGCATTCAGTAATCAAATGTACAATACCATTGGAATTTAGTGCACTTTTTGACAAAGTCAACTCTCTCTATAAAACTGACGGAATTGGGAATCCTTTAATTATATAAAACATGTTATTCTATAATAATAGGGGTTAGGATTTTTAGGACTGGGGGGATTTTTCAGTCGTGTTAAGTTTAGGGTGCAACTGCTTGAGTAACTTATTGAGTCGGACTCTAGTAGTAAACTATTTGTTAGTTTAATTTCACTTTAAATGAGTTGGATTTTCATTAAATAGCTGGACAGTATACTTCCAGAAAACCTAATGGTTCTAGTAAATGATAAATGGAACAGGCTTTAAACTTAAGCATCATCTCAGTACTTGTTCATTCCTTATTAAATTTGAGTTTCCTTTATTATTTTTTTAGATCCTCTCTAACTCAACAGTCAACATGTGACAAGGCACACGCAAAAAGAGCAAATTTTCTCAGAACATTTATTTTTAATTGTTGAATATTCAACATTTCTTTGAAGATTGTTAACTCAGTATGTATAAGTACTCATAAAAGTAATACATTTAATTGTAAAAAATAGTTTGTTATGTATTAATTCATTATAAAAGAGATAAAAAATTCAAATGTTCTGGATAACTTGACAACCTCCAAACTCAACAACCTCTGGGTCCACAAAATATCGAGTTAGAGAGGCAGTGCCGGATTTACCACTAGGCCGATTAGGCTGCGGTCTAGGTCCGCAAGCAAAAGGGGGCCCCAGAGGATTGAGAAAAACATTTTTTTAAATAAAAATAATATATTTTAAGCCACCAGTTTGCCGGGATTACAGGTGAGCATAA